TAATTTATTCAAGTTATGGGGAAATCCTGGAAAACACTTAAACTTGAATATTTCGCAAACCAGCCCTATTTTCTCTAAAATATTTCTGAACCTTGTTATTAGTGGTATTACAAATGTGTGTGAAAATTTTAGACGAATTATGTCGAGCGCAACTTAAAATATGATCTCGTATACACGGAGCAGGCTTTTTCAAAGAAAAAACTCAAGCTCAAAGTTAAAAATTGTTATGTCAACTTCTATTGCATGTAGATCATTCGATTTCTGCGCTAGTGAACTTTGTTCCTATTCATACATTCATGCTTAGTTTGGGTGCTGTTCGTCAATTCGTTGCTGAGGCAGAGCCAGAATACTTAAAGTGTTTAGTGCTAGTCTGCCCATCTGACGGATACGAATGTCGAACGTCGTATCTCAAAAACCTGTCCAAAGAATCTTTTTAAATTTCTTGAGCATAAAGCCGAATCCCCTCTTTATGTTTTTCGTTTGTTCTTTTTCCAATTGAAATGTTTGGACGGACGTAGTAAAATTATCAAAAATGTTAATTTTGTGTTTGTTATTTCGCCAGATGATTGTACATTATGCCGAAAGCCTTTGTTGACATTCTTCATTGTTTTATAAAACAATGGCTTTATGCTCCAGATACCTTAAAACGACTACAATCTTCTAAATAAGAATTAGACTACGTCGTCCAGACATTTTTATGAAATTTAATAGCAATAGATTCCAGAAATACCAGCAGTTTAGGATTAAGTCTAACAAGACGCATATCTGCGTGAGCACAGGCTTTCTGTCGTGCTTCGATCCATTTGTAAATAGGTTTAGCTGGGAGCTACTTCCTTCCAGTTTGGATTAGTCAAGTGATTGACATTGATAGATTGAGCCAAGCCCCGGTCTTGAGTGGGGAAGTCCCCTCCGAGTGAAAGTTTCCAATAATGCAGACAATTGGTCATCGAATTCTTATTTTGGTTTTCGTCGAATTTTTTTTGTAAAACATAATATAAGGCTACGTAGAAAGCATATCAGTGAAGTCGAAGAGTATTTGTAGTACGCTAGTATATAATTCACAGTCTGAAGAAAGGAGCCAGTACTAATAAAGATGTACGTTTTCACTGCCTCGCCAAGTCCTTGTTGTCCAACTGTAAACCTTTTCAGCACTAAACCCAGCCGCAGCCAGACGAAAATGGCATCCAATAACAAACACTTGGTCTTGGTTAAAGGTGGATCACAACTAATGAAACCCAAATTTTGTACTTTTTAACCCCGGGGGGGACTCCCTAATATCAAAGGGCGGGGGTCCTCGGCGTCCCTTTTAGGGTTTGAAATCAGTATTTTGGTCCCGCTTAGGGTGATCATGACAAGAATTCCTACCAACTGTGTTTTGTGGTCCCTTTTAGGGTATACGGCGACCCTAAGCAGTCATAAAATGGCAACGTCGTCATAAACTCAATACGAGCCGACGGTGTTCGATGATTGTGTAAAAACACAAATAAAATCGGTAAACCAAAACAAAATGACCTGTTATTGATTGGTCCCTTTTAGGGTTGAAATTTCAGCACTGCCACGCCCATCATCTCACAATAGAGGTCCCTTTTAGGGGTCATTTTCACAATCTCCGCCGAGGACCCCCGCCCTTTGATATTAGGGAGTCCCCCCCCCGGGATCCATATCCATATAT